ACATAAATTTAAATTGAATGATGAACTGATAAAATGATATTCATTAAATTAATAATTCATGTTATGGGACCTTATCATCATAGACAGGAAACAGATAAAAAGGTAGAATGTAGACAAGGATTTAGGAAAATAAGGAAAAAATCAAGGATGTGTACAAAAAAGGATAAATAAAACGTATTATTACGACAAGACTGGGAGGAGAAGGATTGGAACAGAGAAATAAACCTTTTTTATTTAAATTTTTATTTCTTTAACCAAATATAACTGGTGCATAAATATATCTTTAAATCATCATTTTTTTATTGCTAATTGTCATTTGCCATGTAAAAGTCAGCAATAATATAAAACATCTTTCTAATCTTATATATGTGGAATCCCAAACTATTAGAATCCTAATCGACCATCAACAATGTATACATGAGATATGGAAAAGTTGGGAACAGGCAAAATAGGTTGAACCGGATTTCGAATGGAAATCAACTGTGGAAGAAGTTGGGATTGGAAGAGTCGGGATTAGGAAGTTGGAATGAATTAGATAGGAATCAATTGAATTGGAATCCACTAAAGAGGGATGATAAACAAGGTTTGGTAAATTGGGAGTTGGAGTAATTGGAAATTATGAGTAATGAATAGATGATTTTTGGGAACCACTGTAATGGAATAGAATGAGCAATATATTAAAGTTTAGTATAAAGATACAGATAGGTTAAAATGCATGTGTGTAAAACTATAAGAGAATAAAGGGTTTAGTGGATACAAATGTTAAATAGGAATAAAGACAACATTTTGGAAGAAATGAATGGATTATTGTCAAGTTTGAATTAGAGAGAGAAAAGAAAATAAAAATCATCTTTAGAATCATTTAATAATTCGATTCAAGATCTATATTTGTTTTATATATTCTCAATGCCAAACATTTTTTGAAGCATAGATTACATAAAAAGTAATCAAGAACTTTAAAGTTAAACTATATATTTCATGCAAATATTAAGATATGCTTAATGTTTATTATTTTAATGAATTAATTAGAAATTATGTTTATTTCTTATTCAGACTGGAAAAGAACACAAGTTAATGTTGACCTCAGATGTCCTGGTTATGGCATGAACTGTGATATCGATTTCCATGAAGGAAATAAAACCAAGTAAATTATGATATATAATCTTTCCATTCCTTTGATTTACATTTTGGAGGTTAGGCATTATAGGTGTTTAACTAGATATAAAAAAGTATTAAAAATGTTAATTTTATTATATATTTTATTAAAATTAATTTCTAGCTTAATTAGTGCTTAACAAAGAAATGATTCAAATTGAAAATTTTTTATGTTTTTTAAATGCACAAGTGCTTTGGTTTATTGAACTTTTTATTTTATGCCTTAGCCCGCAAAATATATGCGATCTAACATTTTTGGATACCATTCACCAACTCTAAGTTTAAGAAAAGATAGTAAAGAAGCTTAAGTGATCAAATTTTAAGTTGCTTAGAGTTTTAAAAAATCTTGGAATACATTTTTATGGATTACATAAATTAACTTGGAAAGTACTGTGAACTATCCAATTTAATTTTTTGTTTTTATTTTAGTAATTGGGAGGATTGTGCTCTCCAATGTGCAAATGATCGGGTAACCCTATTTTTTCACTAAAGAATAAGATTTTGCTGAGAAAAATTGATTTTATATTTCTTGCTGATTGTAACGTAACTAATTCTTATTCATACATGAGATAGCTGCCTTTTTCAGAAAAATAAAATCATTACTTTTTTTCATTTTCATTTTAATTAATGGTATGATCTCTACTTAGTGTTTAATATTTTATTTTTTCTGTTTTTTAACCTTTATCATTTATCATACAGCTTTAACTCAATCTCTCCATTCAATTTTGGATTTATCTATGTTTAAATTTACATTAAAGACCTGTGTCTACTGGAATTGGGTAACACTAGAATCAGCTGGATATGCTGGACACTGCCACCTTATGGTAAGTAAATACTTGTATCTTGTTTAATTAAAGTGGGGATCTTCTAAAGGGATAACTTGCTAATTGGTAGTGTAAAATTTATTGATAAAAACATGGCCAAAATATGAAAATTATGTAAACCTGAGAGATGGAATGCAGACCTGCTGTGAGCTCTCCAACCCCTTTTCTAAATACTGTTGAGATAATGCTCCAGGTTCAAATCGTGCTTCATTTATTCATTTGTTGAACTATATAGTATATATCTTATACCAGTGTTGAAATCTCATGTTGTTTTTGATTCATTTTTTCCTTCAGGGTTCCTGCCCTAGTCCCAGCATCAGTGCTTATTGTATTTCTGGACTTTTTGACTGCTTTGAAAATCATTGTTCTAAATAGTTAGTTAGTTAAATAAATGAAAAATATTTGGTGCAAAATTTAATTGGATATTTTCCTTGCTTTTGCACAAATGCTTATGTAATAAAAAGTCATATTTGGTGTTATTTTGTTGGAAGTCAAGATTACCCTATTGAAGGCTGGGGGTTCTAAATATATTTATAAACCATTCCCACAGATAGAAAAGGCCTTAAAGTTAAAATATAGGTTTGCAATGCATGGTATTAAACCAATTTGTTAAAGCCAGTTCATTGTATAAAAAAACTTACTTAATTTATTTGGGTGCTAGGGAGTATTTAAAAAATGTCAAAAAAAACATGGGAAAAATGTTAAATTTGTTGTTAAAATTGTTACACATGTCATTAAATCCATGTTTCAAAGTTTTTTTTAAAAATGTCACTTTTAAATCTGTAGGGAAAAATGTTAAGGTTAGAGAGCTGACATTTCTAGATTTTTCCCAAATAGATATTTCCCAAATCTTGAGCAAAATTTTTTTATAAGTGACTGAGTGTTCAGGCGTACTGCCTGAAATAGGCCTGTTTTACCGCCTAGATTATATTTACTTTTAATACCACTAAAAATTGTACAATCTTTCTGAGTAAGAAATGTTTAAAGATTTAGTATAAATCTTATAAACCACTTTATGAGTCCATATAAGTTTCTAATCATGACAATCAATAAATAACTCTAATCTTAGAAAAATTCTTATGCCTAGGGTCGTTAATTGTTTTTGAAAACTTTAATGAGAAAAAAACTATCATGTTTGCAAGCAACCCACTTGTTTTAAGCTTTTAGAAAACAAATAATGATCGTTTTCAAAAACAATAGTTTTTTTAAAAACGATAAGCAACCGTTTTTTATACGCTTGTTTTTTACTAAACTATTGTTAACAAAGGGTCATTGTTATTGAATGTTAACAAAGGGTTGTTGTTGTCTTATACTGGAAAAAGTTGTGGGGAACTAAAACTTCTTGATATTTTCTTCTCTCTTCGTTAACAATCATTAAGGAAGGGTCGTTATTTACATTTGTTAACAAAGGGTTGACATTTACATTCGTTAGTGAACTAACTTTTTAAAAACGGTTGTTTTTGAAACTATCTTTTTTAAAAACAAACGTTCTGAAAACGACTGTTTTTTAAACGATTTCCTTTAAAAAATAATCAGATTTAAAAACGATCCTTTTGTTTTTCGTTTTTTGTCGTCGTTTTCATATTCAAATGATCTTTTTAAAAAAATGAAAATGATCCATCCCTACTTACGCCACTAGGTCAAAAGAAAAATTTCCTTACACATAAAATTGTTTAGTGCATAGCAGAGGCTTTATCTGCACAGTGGGGATAGGCTTTGTTTGCACAGTGGAGGCTCAGTCTGCCTAGCAAATCGGGGAGGCTCGATGTCTACATACATTCTTCCTCGTCCTGAAGGCCATTCAGGGATAGGGTTAAGGAAGAGCACCCTTGAATATCAAACTAAGTATAAAAAAGAAACTATAAAAATTTATATTATTTTAATGCACTCATTCACAACTAAATTATGCTTTATTTTACAATTAAAATATATTCCTACTATTCGTTTTCAAAAAAAACTAAGAATTTTTTAAAGCTTGCAATCAATGTATTTTTGGTATGTATTGGGAACATGAACTGCACACCCCCTCTCTGTCCTCCCATCTTGTTATGATCCTGGGAACATAAACCATATTCCACTCCCCCCAGGTCCCCATCTTGTGATGTTCCTTGGTTTTCCCATCTTGATATAATCCTGGGAACATAAACCATATCCCATTCCCCCAGATCCTCATCTTTTCATGTTCCTTGGTATTCCCATCTTGTTATAATCCTGGGAACATAAACCATATTCCACTCCCCCA